CCCAGGACCCTGGGATCATGACCTGAGCCGAAGGCAGAGGCTTAACAACTGAGCCACCCAGGCGCCCCCTTTTTCACAATCTTTAATGAGACCTACAAGATCCTTCATGGTGTGGCCTCAGCTTCTCTTTCCTAACTTGATTTGTACTATTTTCCCATGCTGACTACTCCATTACCACACTAGCCCTTTTTTTGGGGGGGGGCGGGTGGTGGTGTTGGGAGGGGAGAAGGACATTCCTTGTAGGTGCCAAGCTCCTTCCTGCCCCAGGGCCTCCACACATGCTCTCCCTTCTGCCTGGAGCACTTTCTTCTGTGTCATTTGGCTAATTTCTCCTCAATCTTTATGTCAAGTTCATTCACCTTCCCAAGTCCTTCCTGAATCTTGCCCCCACCCACTTACTACCCGCTACCACCTCCAAGTCTCTTCTCTTGCTTATGCGCACCCTGAGGTGTAACTGCACACTCATTTGCGTCTCTCCCACAGGACTGCGAGGTCCACGAGGGCCGGGACATCTCTGCCCTGCACACCACCAGCAGCACCCAGGCCCAGCACTGGGCACCCAGGTAAACACCTCTCAGTTTGCCCCTCTCCTCCCTGTAACTTCAGCCTCTCCTCCACATGCTTTCAGACAAAAATATTTAAGCACATTCAAGTGTCTTCCTCTTATCTCTATATCAGCAACAGGAACAGAGAGAAAAAAGAATCCCTAATCTCTCCTACCTTTTCGTTATCACCCTCACCTCCTCTTCAATCAATCTGCTTCAAGTAAGAATCTCAACGTTGGTTTTTACTACCTCCTTGCCCAGCAATATTCTTTAACTCTCCACATTCTAGTCTCTGTGCCTAGCTCACCAGTGAAGCATCTCTCACCAACAGTTTTTGGAAGCTGAAAGCATGCTTCTTTTCCCCAGAAAGGCCTTCTGCCTTGGCAGTTGGGCTCCTACACTGTCCTGGTTTACCTCCTCTCTCTGGCCACTCTTCCGTCACTTACATGTTCCTTTTCCCCAGAGTCTGCTTCAGCCTCTCTTCATCTCCACACACTCATCTGTTCCCAGGGTTAAATCATTATCTACAGCACTGCGGCCCCTCCAAAGTCAAATTTAAAAAATTTCAAGCTTTTCAAGTTTCTCAAAGAAGGCTAACAAACAGCCCTCCCCTCCGAAATTAAGACCCAGTTATCACTAGTATTTAACACTCTAACACACAATCTAACCTGAATGATTCTTTTTCCAGGAGGTTAGAAACTAAGATTCAAGAGCAGAAATGCAAAAGATAAAAAGAACAGATGAATGCAAGTCCTAAACAACCACTGATATTAAAAATGAGGAGAAGCACTATGGCAAGGCTCCATATTGTAAGCCGTTAACTGTGTCTGAATGCATATAAATAGAAGATATATTTTTAAATGGCTAATATAAACCACATTTTGGCACTCGAGGAGTACAATTTCAGTTAAAATATGAGAGATGAAATATGTCACTCCAACGGACACCAAAATAGATAGTATGGTACCTTCTGAACAGCTGTTAGCAATGAGCATATGAGAAACATAACTGCCCCAAAACAGTGACAGTAGAACTCAGGATTTACTATCATTATTTCATCTGATTTCTTACCCTGGAAACGACTCTAAGAGGTAACTATCAAGTAGGAACGGGACACCAATCACAGAAGCGTAATAAGAGAATACTGCTGTCAACTAATTCAAGATGGCTTACTTCCCGTCTCAACACACATCCACATTTCAAAGATATAATAAGGTTACAAGACTCTCCCAAAAAATGGAGGTTTACAAAGTTTCTCAATCTCAAAAGTCACCTTGAAATCGAATGTCCATCAACAGAAGAATGGATAAAGAAGATATGGTGTGTGTGTGTATATATATATATATATATACACACACACACATATATACATACACACACAATGGAATATTATGCAGCCATAAAAAAAAAAAACCCACGATATCTTGCCATTTGCAACGACCTGCATGGAACTAGAGGGTATTATGCTAAGCGAAATAAGTTGATCAGAGAAAGAAAAGTATCATATGATCTCACTGATATGAGGAATTCTTAATCTCAGGAAACAAACTGAGGGTTGCTGGAGTGGTGGGGGGTGGGAGGGATGGGGTGGCTGGGTGATAGACATTGGGGAGCGTATGTGCAATGGTGAGTGCTGTGAATTGTGCAAGATTGATGAATCACAGACCTGTACCTCTGAAACAAATAATACATTATATGTTAAAAAAAAAAAAAATAGCAGGAGGGGAAGAATGAAGGGGGTGGAATCGGAGGAGGAGACGAACCATGAGAGACTATGGACTCTGAGAAACAAACTGAGGGTTCTAGAGGGGGTGGGGTGGGAAGATGGGTTAGCCTGGTGATGGGTATTAAGGAGGGCACGTACTGCATGGAGCACTGGGTGTTATGCACAAACAATGAATCATGGAACACTACATCAAAAACTAATGATGTATTGTATGGTGACTAACATAATAAAATAAAATTAAAAAAAAAAGTCACCTTGAAATCGAACGTGTAATTTGTGTAAGGCATCAGGCCACTCTCATAGGCACTCTTTAACTTGAAACCATGCGTGATCCTTCCATTGGTTGTCCCGTTTTTCCCATTACAGCTGAAGTTTGTAAGACTTTCATTATATCTCAGTTCCTTAAAGTCTTTATGATTTGTTTCTACTCCACCGGTGCTTAAATACTCTACAACACCTATAATGAAAATACAGGTACTTTGTTCATTGTCCAGTATAATATGCAGTGTACAAAACTGAAAAAATGTAATAGTAACTACTTTAAAACACACCGTCCCCCTTTCTAAAATGTTTGTTATTGTTTTGTTTGTTTTACATTTCCCAGAACTTATCTAAGTCCATTTTTACATGGTTTTGATCCTAGTATATTGAATACTTTATATTTTGCTGTGCTGGCGTTTCATATTTGTTAAACTAGTTCCTTATTTCTTAAAAAAATTCAGCTTGTTTTTACCTTTTTTTAAAAGAGTTTATTTATTTAATTTATTAGAGAGAGAGCACGAGCAGGGGGAGGGAGAAGGTTAGAGGGAGAAGCAGACTCTCCACTGAGCAGGGAGCCCAAAGCGAGGCTGGATCCCAGAACCCTGAGTTCATGACTTGAGCAGAAGGCAGATGCTTAACCAACTGAGCCACCCAGGCATCCCTTGTTTTTACTTTTTAAAAAGAGTTAACTCCATAATCAACATCTTAGTATCTAGGTTTCTGCCTATGTTGAATTATTTACTTGGTATAAAATGCCAAGATTAGGATTAAATGTGCCCTTATACATACTGTCAACCATGGAAGAGAATGCCATCAGCTAGACGGGCTCTGCAAATAGTTATTTTACTTTTCATTTAATTAGTTAGTAAAGTTGGACATTTTCCCATGTGTTTGCTATTAAAATACTGTATCTTTTTTTTAACACGGAAATGAGGCTTAGTATGTATTATTTGACTAGTCTCTCTTTGCCCCTTAGATACTCTGTAGTTAAACAGAAGGCAGAACACATGAAGAGAAACTGTCAGAGAACAATCCCCCACTGCTTCAGCAGCAGTGATCCCGGAGAGCTCTAAGAGATGGGCTGAAGAATTATGGATCTCAGATACCTTTACCTGCCCTGAAAACAAATTTTGACAGTTTTTATCTTCTTCCTGGCTCTCATCCATCATGACGGCAATGAACTGCAAGTGAACTGAACCACTCCAAATGTGTTTATACTTACGTGCTCAGGCACATGTGCAAGGGCAAGGAAAAGTACTTTGTGCCAATGACAGAGTACAAACGAAGAGGTGAAATACAAAAAGGAATACTTAGTCTGACATTACAAGAACTATGGTTTTGTTCACTGTGCTATCCAGTGGAAAAGTATTCAAGGGTAAGCCTTTCTGTATTCTTCTACATTGTAATAAAAATCAAGATCCCTGTTCTTTTTTGTTCAAATCACTAGCCTGATCTGTGTAAATAAAGGATCTCAATTTCCACCTAAGGTGTATTGGTATCAAGCCCACCAATATTAAGATCCTGTAAATAGCCATTTACACTGCATCCTATTACTACATGCTGGAATCCCAGAGAAGCTATCTTAATAACCTTCTCAGAGTTTGCATTATATGTGACTTGGGGATAATGAAATATAATCATATGTTCTTTAACAAGTTATTTCAAGTTATCAACTACATGTTTATCGAAGATGATTAATGTCCTTCCTCCTTAGGTGTTCATAACATCATTTCATTTTCCAAAATAGTCTCCCTAACTACACACACAAAAAATGCTAAATCTGATTCATAGCTGCTGCTATAAGCTGAATTTTCATTTTGACTAAATTTGGAATTACCAAAAACAATATATTACAAAAACAATTTAGTCAAAAAAAAAAAAAAAGCATTCTACATAAAATATCTTTTCTTACCAGAATCCGGCAAAGAATTAAGATCTGCACATAACACCAGTGGAATAGTTCCAAATTCTCCCACTACACTGGACTGGAGGTTTCGTGAGGCTTTATCAATAATGTTCTTCACTTCTGAGAGGAACATCATAGTTTGAACCAACTTCACATCAGAGTATTCAGGGTCCCAATGCATATGAGCATTAGCCACAAGAATAAGTTGTTTTTCTGTTCCAAGATGTGGCTTTCCAGCTATATTAGATAAAAAGAAAACAAAGAGACAGACAAAACCCGCCCATCAGCCCATATAGTCTTACAGGATCTGTAGGCAAGTAGTATATCTCAGAGTCTCAGGAACAAAAAAGGACCCTAAAATTTACCTAACAATCGCCCACCTGATGACTAAATCTACGGTAGCACAAACCTGAAAAACAGTCCTCTATGCTCTGGTTGAATAGTCTGAGGTAGGGCATTCAGTACTTGAACACACACAGCCCATTCTATTTGGGACAGCTTTATTTTTAAACAGTTGTCTCCTTAAAACTTCTGGCTTCATTCAGATGTCCTAAATTGGGTCTCACAAAATTAAATCTACATCCTTTTTCTTAGATATATTTAATACAGGCACTAAGTTCCATCTTTATTTTCTCTCCTTCAGGTTAAACATCTCCAGTCCCAACTGTTCCTCAAGTGACACAAGTTTCAGTTCTCGGCATGATGGTCACTCTAAATGTACTTTCAATTTGAAATAAGAGGTCCATTTATCCAAAACTCAGAACATTTAAAATAATGATTACAAGTAGGGCAGGAGGAGAAGTTAGCTTACAGAGTATCCTTGCTGCCACGAAATTATAGAAGGGTATGGAGTTCTTCTCTCTGAGCAGTTATTTTAGTTAATATTTATTTCAACATTTCTTTTACGTAAAAAATTATTGGGAGCAAAAAAAACCCATTTTTTTCTTTGGCTTTATGCCTCTCAAAGTTTGAAATACTTTTCTGGGCACTGTGTTCTCATCTTAAGCTTTGTGGTAGAGAAAAAGGATATGGTATTCTAGAAATGACTTAAATTCTCACTGAGTTTCTTCAGGTGTTAAATAAGACTATTAATACATAACAAATTTTCTGCTTTCTATTAAATTTTGGAGGTCAATTTTACAGGAAGTGAAAAGGTCACTCACATGACATTTCAATCAATTCCTTTCGAAGTTCTAGCAGTACTGCAACTCCAATGTTATCTTTTGTCATGACTCTGTTCAGCATAGCTTCAGACCCTTCTGAATTTGCCATTGCTAGCTGATTAAATTCAACAGTGTGTTTCTGAACCAAAGTAAATCTAAAACACAAACAAAAACACACACACAAACATAGAATTGGGAATACCCAGGTATTAGCTTTGTGGGAAATGCAGTTTTCCCAAACTTTCTTAACAAATATGATGGCATGTAAATCACATTATGGAAAATCCTCCACACTTCACACCAAGCTTCCCACAACCGTTTCAAGTTGTTCTCAGTCTGTTACTGATAAAAACAACATCTTGAAATACTTTTACAACTTAAGACAATGTAGTCATCTTCTGTTTTAAGTTTCAAGTTGGAATATTCCATCTTGTAATTTTTAAATAATTCTTTTCCAAACTATAGGTTTAAGAATCCCTCTACCATCCTAGAGGGAATGATAATTACGAGGTGTTTCAATTACCAATTGGAGTTAAACCCTAGTGAACACCTGAAGAAACAGCAGCACTTTCAACAAGTCTCCCAAACAAGATCACTTCTGATGCTTCAAAACCAAACCCTTCAACACTAAGAATACAACACTTCAGTCTCCGATTTGCCAACTAATTTCCACACCCCTGATTCCCTGCAAATACTGAGAAAATTTTCTTTTTTAAACATAAGATGACTTACTTTTCTGTCTTGAAGAATATTGCACAGCCATCGACATGTTTTCTCTCTTGTTCTGACATTGTCCGAGCTCTAGACTTAGGACTAAAGAATCCATTATAGCCACGTTCTTTCAGTTCTACCAGAAAAAAACTGTAATACTGTTCTGTTTCAACCTCCTGAAAAATTGCAAATGGCAAAGTTATTCATAAGACAAAAATCAGTCCCATGCATTAACTTTACATGTACAGTTTGAGGGGCTGAAATAATTTCAAAGGACTAATCTGCAGAATAAGGAACATAACATCTTTCAACGTACATACACCTCGGTGTGTGTGTATTTTCTTCTATTTTAGAACTGATGGGGAGTAAGAATCAGAGAGGAGGAACTTCGCAGATTCTAAATGCAGACCACAGGTAGAAAGTGACTTGCCCAAGGTCGTGTAAATTATTATGAGAGTAGGACTGAGACCCCAAAGTTACTGTGCGTCAGGTTCAATGCGCTTTCCACTATGCCCTAATTATTCTATTACTGCTGATGGTAAAGCAAAACTATACCTTGACAATGCCATGATTTCAGTAACACCGCCACCCCATTAAAAAATAGTGCTAAGGCATCTGGGAGAGAAAGATGAATATTTAACTGTCATAGCAAATGCCTAAAACCCAAATTAACCCATTTGCTTCATTTGGCAGCACAGTGGCTGCAAAACAAAGCAGGCAGTGAATGCTCCCAGGATTTGCTAAAAACAGAGCCAATATTTTAAGAATTGCTGAGCTGGAACTTCAAATGTGTTAGGGTAATGTGTTCCCAGTCTGTCCCTTGCTTATCAACATTGGGGCATTTGTGCACTTTACACAAACACTTCTTCTCATGACTTACCTGAAGACTTATGATATCAGCATTGCAGCTCAAAATTTCTTGAATAATGGCCTTTTTCCTGTAGTCCCAATTTAGTGCCCAAGACGGACAGTAGCCGTATAACTGCCGGGTCGCATATTTATCACAAAGAACATTATAGCACATGACAGAAAACAAGGCTGTAGGAAAGATAACTTTACTTATTCACACATGTGGCAGAAAAAAAAATAATTTCAATAGTTTTTACTTAAATGCTAAGTTTGACTTTATTTCACTCAATATATATTCACTGAAAAGCTACTATATGCCAGACATAATGGATAAAAGTAAAGTTGAATAAGGAAGGAAAGACAGATAGCTGAATAAATAATGATATGATGTGTTATCTGCTATAGAGATACCCACAGAAGGTTCGAAGCTAAAAGACTAAGATCTCGAGCCTCTCTGTCCCTAAGACCAGGGCTCATCACATCTGTACTCCCTCCACCACTCTGCTAACTGCTAATGCAGAATGTGGAAAACTGACAGTTTTCCTAATAGGCATGGCTAATTTTCTTCTATAGAGCAACTATTATTAATCCAAGTGAAAGGAAGAGGTATCATAGACCAAATCCTGTTACACGTATCATGTAATTCCCAAACTATTTTCATACAAGTTAAGTTAAAAAGAAATCAGAGGGGGTGCCTGGGTGGCTCAGTCGTTAAGCGACTGCCTTCGGCTCGGGTCATGATCCCAGGGTCCTGGGTTTGAGTCCCGCATCGGGCTCCCTGCTCGGCGGGAGGCCTACTTCTCCCTCTCCCACTCCCCCTGCTTGTGTTCCTGCTCTCGCTGTCTCTCTCTCTGTCGAATAAATAAATAAAATCTTAAAAAAAAAAAAAAAAGAAATCAGAGGCCATTAGTTCATTTTCTCTCTCAAGTAAGTGTTTTGGCTGTCTTACAATTCTGTAGATTCAAATACATTTGGAACTTGCAATATAAAGATTTTGGTGTCTTTATTATAATAAATGAGTTTGGTCAGTACTTGACAGCGGAGCTGCTTCTCAACAGTGGCACGACTGACATCATGGGTGGGTAAATTCTCTGCTGGGGGCGGGGGGCGGGGGGGGGCGCTGTGCTGTGCAATGTAGCATGCTTAGCAGCATGTCTGATCTCTAACCAGGGGCTGTCAAGAGCACTTCCCCCAGCTGTGACAATCAAAAAATGTCTCCAGACATTGCTAAATGTCCCTTGGGGGATGAAAATGCCTCTGGTTGAGAAGCACTGCTCAACAGCACACCTATAGCATAGTAGGAAGACCAGCTAAGCAACAATTAAGTCTTTATTATTCTCTCTCAAACCAAATCCGGTCTTAAGCATTCAACTGTAACACAGCCCATAATCTAACCCATGCCAACACACTGTTAGATTTATAATACCAAGTAAAAATAAGTTAAAAAAATATAAGGCTACCAACCAGTTGGCCTTGTTCTGTCTGGTTCTTGCAACATAATCCAAGATCTTGGAGGTGGCTGTTCTGTTGAAACTAGTTGAACATAAAACACAAAATTAAGCAATATTCTTACACATCTTCCTAAAAAAATTGTTTGAACAAATGACCACTTACTTCTTTTTGCAGTACCTGCCAAATTATCAAGCAAATAGTTCAGTAGCCTTCTTGTTCCATCTGGTTCCAGATAGAGGTTCAATATATCCTGGGTAAGTGGATTTCCTGGAAATATTTTTTAAATAGGTAAAATGAAACCAAGAAAGGTAACAAAATATTTCGAAAGTAAAAAAATACCGAAATTATCGGATCATCTATAACAATGTATACAATTACTTGTAATATACCAAACCTGAGAAAATATTTTTCCAGTTTTTGATAAGAATAAAAATGATTCATACCATGTTCTGCAGAAGTAGTCAGAAAATGATTATTGTGGACTGATGTCAATCTAGAAGAGATCTAACAGTGCTCTGTATCTGGCCCTGCCTCAACAACACTTTTATGACAATCAAACCCAAGTGAAACTAGAAGGGGAAGAGTGGGAAGGAGGGTCAGACAAGGGAAAGAGGACAGCCACTATAATGAATCAGAGAATCAAAACTTAAGAATGCAACAAAGCTAACAAGATATCCTAATGACAAATGTAGTCTGCACTTAGATTTTTAAAAATTCTACTAAATAAAGTAATAACAAGATGAGACAGATTTGGTTTAAGATTAAGTCACTAAGGAAAGGGGAAAACCCCAAGGCTGTGAGCCATCCATAAATTCAGTAACTCTTTCCTAAGTGCCAAAAATGAAAGCAAGTGCAATGATTTACATATATCTACAAGAGTCTCAAATCCTCTCAGAAGGATTTCTTATGTGCTTATGAAAATTAACAGTACAATGAACTGCTTGAACAGTGCAGTTCCTACCCACACCACACAAGGGGTATATATATTGTTCTGGATGCCACAGCCCCACTTTAAGAAAGACTAATAAATTTTATAGACTGAAGAAGACAAACGATTTCTAAATCATTATAAAGTGATTATAAGATCTTAACCATGCCAAATGAAAAAAGATTTTCAAAAGATATTGCCCCCCTCACTTTCTCTGCCAGAGAAGTGTTAAAGAGAAAGCCAGCAAAAACAGAAGGTTGAGTAAGATTCAGAGTTTCATAATGTAGTATGACTATGTCCAGTTTCAAGTGAAAATCACTCATCATACCGAAGATTTCAAACTAAATGAAGAAAGATAAACAAGATTCCAACACCAAGATGACAAAAACATTAGAATCATCTGATCTAAATACAGCAGGCATGACAAAAAATGCTTAAATGAGAACTAGCAAAAACATGTTTGAAATAAATGAAAAAACAGGAAGACTCAGCAAAGAAAAACAAAGTTTCGGCAAATGAACAAAACATGTTTTTGAAAATGGAAATATTAAAACTGAATAACAGAATAAATGAAATAAAAAGTTCAGTGGATGGGTTCAACAGCAACACAGAGGGTCAGAGGAAAGAATCAGTGAACTGAAGACAGAACGGTAAGAATTACCCAATCTGAACAATAGAAAGGGAACTGAAAAAAATGAACAGAGCCTCAGGGACCTGTGGGACCACAACAAAATTCTAAGGTTCATGTCCTCAGAGTTGTGGAAGCAGAGAACAAGAAGCACTGAGCTGAAACAGTACTCAAAGAAATAATGGCTGAAAAACTCCCCAAATTTGGAGAGAAAAACAAACCTGTGGATTCAAAAGTCTGATAAAACCCAAACAGGACACACTTAAAAGAATCCACAGCAAGCCACACCATAATTAAACTTCTGAAAACTAAAGACAAAGAAAAAATCTTGAAGGCAGCCAGAGAAAAACACCTTACCTCTAGGGAGAACATGCTCTGAATAACAGCAGACTTCTCATCACAAGCCACGGTAGTCACAGGGAAGTGGCACAAGATTTTTAAGTGCTGAAAAAAAAGAACTGGCAACCCAGAACCAATATCCAGTGAAAACAGCCTTGAGGAAGGAAGGAGAAATAAAGACATTCTCAAGAGGACAGAAAACTAAGAGAATCTATTGCCAGCAGATCTATCAAAAAAGAATCAGAACAGAAGTTCTCTAAATACAAAGGAAATGATGAAAGAAGGAACCTTGGAACATTATAAAGAAAAAAAGAATATGATCTTCAAAAGGGGGCAAATATAATAGGCTTTCCTTTGCTTAAGCTTTCTCACTCATGTTCAGCCATTAAAATATTTTTGCAACACTGGTTTGGTTCTAAATAAACGTAGAGAAAATATTTAAGACAATGATACTATAAACAGGGAGCAAATAAAAAGTCATCAAGAGAGTTAGGGATTATATATTTCACTCAAAATGGTAAAATGATAGCACTAATAGACTTGATAAGTTCTGTATGTTGTCCACAAGAAACTGACTTGAAATGTAACACTATAAAAGCAGGTTGAAAGGAAAAAGATGGAAAAAGATGTCATGAAAACAAAGGAAAGCAGTAGTGACTAATTAGTATCAGATAAAGTTGGTATCAGAGAAGATAAATTTACTAGAGACACAAAGTGACATTACATAATGTAAAGCAGAACACATAGCAATTCTAAACACGCATCCACAAAATGACAGAACTGAAAAATATTTTAGGCAAAAACAGAACTGAAAGGACAACAGAGAAATCTCCAATTATGCTGGGAAACTTTAACACTCCTCTCTCAACAACTGACAGAACCAGACAAAAAAACTTCCAACACCATCAATCTAACAGACACTAACTAGGTTAATATATAGGATCCAGTTGAGATTTATAGACCATTCTACCTAATAATACCACAATACATATTCTTGTGCATGCCCAAGGGACATAAACTATGTAAAGACCATACCCTGGGCCATAAACCACCAAACGTCAACAAATTTAAAAGAACTCAAATCATACAGAATTCTTCAACCACAAGGGAATCACACTAAAAATTAGTACTGAAAAGACAAAAGGGAAATCTGGAAACACTTGGAAAATTCTAAACAATCCATGGATCAAAGAGGAAGCTTTAAGGAAAATTTTAAAATGCAATGAATTAGTGAAAATGAAAACACACCATATCAAAATTTGTGGCTGGACACAGCTAACATAGAGCCAAGAGGGAAATTTATAGGACCTAATGCATACGTTGGAAAAGGAAAAATCTCAATTCAATAATCTAAACTCTGATCCTAAGAACCTAGAAAGAAGAAAAGCAAAAAGACAGATTAAAAATACTAAAGAATAGGAATCAATGAAATTAAAAACAGAAAAAAGGAATTTTTTAAAAAGCTGTTTCTTTGAAAAGATCAATAAAATTAGTAAACCTCTACCAAGACTGACAAAGAAAATGAAGACAAAAATTACCCATATAAAACGTGAAAGGGGATATCACTACAAACCTTACAGAAATCAAAAGGATAAGAGAATACTATGAACAACTCTACATACATAAATTTAACAACTTATATGAATGGGCCATTTCCCTGAAAAACACAAACTGTCGGAACTCACTCAGTACATAATTTAAATAGCCCTATACCTATTAAAGAAAATGAATTCATAATTTAAAAACTACCAGAAAAGAGGGGCGCTTGGGTGGCTCAGTCAGTGAAGCATCAGATCATGATCGTCTCAGGTCATGATCTCAGGGTTGTGGGATCAAGCCCCACATCAGGCTTCATATTCAG